TCCAATTATCATTATTCTATTATAATCATTTCCAATTATCATTATTCTATTATAATCATTTCCAATTATCATTATTCTATTATAATCATTTCCAATTATCATTATTCTATTAAAGCAATGTGAAGATTCTGTGCTAAACGTTCAGTGTGGACGAGTTTCATCGCCCGATTTTGATGAAATTGTTGTTTCTACTCATATCGGTTGGGTTTTTGCACTTACCACAGAACCAATCGATAAATTAAATTCTACTATGGCATTATCACCTCAGGTAGAGGTCAAAGTTCAAGAGCTTAGGTATTCTATTTATTTTATTATTCATTTGTTGTATTTGACAGCGAATTTTTTTATTTAAAAGTAAAAATTTAAAATTTAAAAATGATCATTTTTTAATTTTTGGATGGTAGAATAAAGCTTTTCCTTGGACTCAATTATTTGACAAAACTTTTTTTTTTTTTTTAATATTTTGACAAATAATTTATTGAAGAAATGAAATTGAAAATTTGCAACAAAAAATTGACAAAGAGCAACAACGATATAATGAAATAACAGTGGGAAAAGATGCTGTATCAGTAGTGATACCAAATTTTATCATTCGTGATCAATTTAAACTTGATAAAGATACTATCTGCTATTCATTGATCATTGAACTTACTATACCAATTGATTTCGTCTTACTTCAGGTTTCAATTATTACTTTAAATATCATTTTACATTTTTTTTTTGCTTTTTTTCTTTTTTCTAATTTAACACAAATTAACAAATTTGTTACTATCATTCATTTCTAATCAATCGATTATTGATTAGATCAATTAATCCTGCATATTATCAATTTCAAAAATAATTTTCTTTTTGTCCTCTAAAATACTTCAATTGAATCGCTCAGAGTGATATTACAATCGAATTGCTTGATGTTGAGAAGAATGCAGCGGTTGTTTCGATTACACCACCGGATGAAACGGTCAGTTCTGAATGTTTTATTTTTTTTCCGAACGGTCAGTTCTGAATGTTTTATTTTTTTTCCCGACTATTTCAGTCAATTATTTAATATATTTTGATCAATTTAAACTGAATTAATTTCACTAAATTGAAATGCTTCTATTTTCGAAGCAAAAAAATAAAAAAAAAGAAAAACAAATTATTGTAATTGCTAAATTACTTACAATTATTATTATTATTTCAGTCAAAAAATCTACTACTAGCAACATATCGTTGTCAAGCAAGCACAACAAGAATGGAAATTAAAATTCGCTCATTGGAAGGACAATGTGGAAATTTTAAAGCATATATTTGCCCAAAAATTCATCCTAAAACGTGTCAGGTCTTTATATTTTAGTGCTAAAATTATTTTTTATTTAATAAATTTTAATTGAAAAAATTTTTCAATTATTTCTTGTACATTCAATGATAAATCAAATATGAAATTTAATTCATACTTCTCCTTCTTCTTTTTTTTTTTTTTTATTTAATAAATTTGAAATTTTGAATTAAGAATAGTTTTCTCTTTTTTTTGCTAATTTATGCAAAATATTATATTTAATTATTTAGGTACGTAATTATGTGATTAAACCATTATCATTGCATCAACGAGTGCATCAGTTTAATACATCGATGCCAATGAATGTATTAAAATTAATTGGAAATTTTTCAATTGCTGAAGCGCATCATTGGTTAAATCTTTTGGTATCAGAAATACCAGACCGACCACCATTACAGGATTCTATTACATATAATTTCTCATCAATTTTTATTGGTACACAAATGCAAGTTACATATAGGTTAGTCATTTTATTAAATGACTAAAAATAAATTAATAAATGAATCTTTTATTTTTTTTGTTATTAATTTGATAATGGATAAATTGTGCTATAATCTAAGATAGAATTAATTATTCATATACTTAATCTATTTACTTTCCTTATTGATTAGTAATAAAAGTTTTAATAACATTTACTCATCCTTTTTCCTTTCTGAAATTAATGAATTTCTCACTTCAACATTGCTAATATTTATCAATTTATTAGCAATATTACCCTAATTAATCAGTAAATTCTTTATTTACTCTATCATAGTACTAATCCATAGTGTAAGTAAAATGATATTGATAATATATTTGAATTTTCATCTTTTTGTTGATATTATTTCTTATTATTAATTTGTTTTTATATTTTGATTATCAAATTTTACACAATAAGTGCTAGTATCACTCTAAAAAAAGATTTGATCATAAAACCATTTGCATTTAGCTAAATTAATTTATCATTTCATTTATTGAAATGCAAATAATAATCTTTTTTCAAGTTATGCTTTAATGTTTTAAATACTATTTCAAATTGTTTTATTTGCTTTTATTCATCTTTTTTCTTTGGTTCTAGTTCACTGGTTGATCATTTTATAAATTAATTCATATATCGTTTACCCATATTCTCATTTTATTACATTGCATTTATCAGATTAAAAATCTTTTCTATTATCTATGATATCATAAAGGGAAAATTTCATTAATAAATTCAAACTTTATTTTAGCCGTGGTTTAGCCATCTTTTCCAGTGATAATATTTCAACTATTGCAATCATTCGTGATGTTTTGAGTAAAGAAGTGACCAAAAGACAAGTTAGAGTGGACATTCAATATGGAAAGCATTTTCATTTATATCTTTTTAAATTCTTGCAGCTAATTCATCCAATCCAGCAGTATTTTACTGATCGAAATAATAATCAATAATTTTTTTCTCTTTTTTTTTAGGCAATTTTTGTTATTGTTAAATGTAATTGAATGAAATTATTTGTTATTTACTCATTAAATAATCATAATTTTAGATCTAAATGAGCAAAGTATCCTTCATGTCCTACAACTACTTCATCCAAAACTTGATCACTATGCAAAAGTGACAAAAAAGTTTGAACTATGTCGAGCGCTCAAAGTTCATTTTTATTTATTACCTTCCAAGTTTACATTTTCACTTCTCCTCTAATGTGTTGTTAAATTTAATTTAACTTTTTCAATCTTAATTCAAGGAAATTTGTGGAATATAATCATAATGCATCATCCTTCTATATTGCATTAGAATTTAAATTTAAATTAACAAATTCACTCTGAATAGCATGTAATGTGATTGAGAAAAAAAAAGAAACTTAAAATTAATTTTACATGAATTAACGGATAATGCCGACGACTTATCCTATCTATCTGCTGATACAAAGGAAATCCTTGAATCATTTGATGAATTGCATAAGGAAATGAGTTCTCGTGGAACATATTTTGATCGTCTCACTGCTATCACTATGAATCTATATATTGGTAAGGATTATCTAATCTTTGATTGATAATATTTATGAAATCTAAATAAGCGCATTAATGAATAAAATTTTGAAGAAAAAACTCTTTCAGATAGAGAACGAATGTTTGGAAGAAATGGTAAATTAAAAATGGATGAGCTTCTTGATATTATAACAAATTATGATTATAATAAATTACTGCAATTTTTCAATGCTAAAACTTAGATATGTCAAATTGTCATATATTCAACAAATTGAACCATGTAAAATTGCTCTTGCAATTTTAAAGCTAATAATTAACTTGGAAAGATTATTGATCTGAGAATTATCTCATTTTTTTTTATGAAGAAATGTAACAATTGAATAACTCTACTAATAAATGGCTCATTTTTCTATTTCCATCCTAGTAGAAATAGCACATGATGCTTGCAAGAATATGAATATATTATAAATCCTATAATTTAGTTCCATTCATTATCAGTATGTTAAATTTCCTCAATTTCTAAAGAGAATTAATTACTTTTTCGTAATTGTCAAATCATTCAAGTAATTGCAACTGCAATACAAAAATAAAACTTCTTTTTCTTAAATCGAATATTTAAAAAAAAAAAAGTGTTATACGGTAGCTTACAACTCAATCAAAAGATGAGCAAAATAAATTGAAAAGAAAGGAAAAAAAAAAAAAGGTTGCGCACATTTTTTACTGAAATTTTTGAAAATTTAACAGACTTAGAAATTTACAAATAGAAACGAAATTTTCAATAAATTTATGAAAGAAATAAGAGAAATTTTTGCTAAACAAAAAGCCACCCATAAGGAACATTTAATATAAAAATAAACCAAGCATAAAAAATTTGATCTTAATTGAAATGAACTCAATTTGAGTACTTCAACAGTTGATTAATAACAAATAACAGAACAAACAAGAACAAAACATAGTAGTAAAAATAATTGTTACTGATAAAAAGTCACAGGAAATGTGACAGTAGCAGTAGTAACAATATTTCGGCTTAGCTATATATCGCATAAAAGAACTGGAAATTTTTGAAACATGCAAAAATGTCAGCCTAATAAACAATAAACCTTAAAAAGCACAGTAGCAGCAAATATCGAGGGAGAGAGAGAGATAGAAAGAGAGAGAGAGAAAGAAAAAAAAAGACCCTTACAGAGAGAAACCCTCAAACGATAAAAAGAAGAAACATAAAAGATCAAAAGAAAATGAAACCATTATTTCATCAAATTCACCAGACTAATTAGCAATTAAGCAATGCAATTAATGCTAATTCATATAATAAATATATGTTTCATTTCTACTGGATATGGATTATAGCAACGAACACGCAAAAATAAATTGCATTTTGAATTATCGAAATTACTCCACCTTCAGTACAATATTCTCGATAATCTCTGACATGTAATCGTATGTCGAGTACAATTATTCGAAACTTTTACTTATAAAGTAAATAATATTAACTTAAAATGCAATAGTTTAAAATTTCAAAAAAAAAAAGATCCAACCGATAAAACTTTAATGTTTTAGAGTAAAAATACAATTTCCAATTATATGAGACAAATATAAACCTCTATGCGGGCAGTATATTCAAAAAAAGCTCACCGAAGTGAAGGAAAAAGAAATAAACCAAGTAAAAAATAAATAAAAATAAAAGAGAAATTCGACGAGATCCATTCAAACAAACATTATTAGATATTACCATTCACTCATCTTAACGAACCAACACATTCGTTTGCTGCTGTTGATTAACTGTCGACGTAGTAGCGGAACCATTAATATTTGAAGCACTTTCTTCTAATTGTCGAATTGCTTCAAGAATTGTGTAAAAATTTGAATTTAAATTGGCTCCAGTAGCATTCTCCAGTGAATTAAAAAGAAATGGTGATTGATGTGTGAGTAAATCACCGATCGGTGGTGGTTGTGTTTGTGATGGTGATTTTTGATCATCAATAAAGCGTGCTTCATTGCTGGTTGCTATTGTTGATACTGCTGTTTCGGATACCAAATTACTCGTAAACATGCTTAAATCAAAACTCGTAGTTTGTAGTGGTCCAGCACTACCACTACCACTATCATTACCAGTACCACAACCATTACTACTACCTACTCGTGCATTGGTCAACAGATTATCGATCAGAAGTGCAGGCGGTAAAAGCCCTGAAAAAGAAAACAATAATTTCTAATCGAACTCTAAATGGGCAAAATTAACCTAAAACAGAAAAATTTTATTCAGATTTAGTGTAATGAAGGTTAAGACATCTCGGTATTTTCACTATTTTTCAAAAATTTTGAGAGACATAAAATTTTCTCTTTCAATTAGTTTGGATTTTAAACAATTTAAACAATTTTCCAATTTTTCAAATCAAAATGAATTTCCACATTACAGATAAGCATAGTTCCATATTTTCGAAATCCATTCAGAAGATACGGTGGGGATGAAAATGGAAAGGAGAAGAAACGGCACCGCCATAGTTACTTTGACAATTTGTTAGCGCTGTTAAGGATGAAATGTTTAAAAGAAAGCTTTTCCAATAGTTTTTCAAAACTCCCATGGGAACCTTCTAAATTACACCAGAATCTAATACATTTCAAATGGAATTGTTGAGAAATTCTGTAAAAATTTAGTAGCAAAATTTAATAAATCAATAAGTTTACTTTATAAAATTCACAAGTACTATTGATCACATCATTTGAATTTATTAATGCTGTTAAGGGTAAAGTGTTAAAAAAGAAGTTTTTCCTTAGCAACACTTAACGCTAAATATTTTTAGCACATAACAGTGTTCTTAGAACTAAAAATTTTTTATACATGCTTCATCAGTGGGCATAGTGTACAGCAAAATAGTCATCATTCTAAAATGAATGAAGAGAAACAACTGGAAGAAAACAATTCAGTTCATTAATAATTAATTATTTGAATCTAAAATTAAATTTCAAATGAAAACCTGTAAATCCGCGTGCATGCAGAAGTGGAGGTACGACATTCTGCAATGCAATAGCCGGATTAATTATTGACGAGTTTGGTTTTGAAAGGAACTGTGAAAGCACCGGTGAATTCGTCCATAAATTAAACATTCTCTCATAAAGGTGCCGCAAACGACGCTCATGTTCCAAAGCAGCTGTTAGCTCACCTATTACACCACGTTCTCGCATGTTTTCATCTGAAAAGAAAGAAGAAGAAGGAATATGTCATATGAATAAGAGAGTAATTCTATTCTTTTAATTATCCATTGCAGAAATCATAAATGTTTTTTGAGAAATTAAATGTCTAAAAATGTACTTAATGATTCTTTTGTACACATTCGAACAACAAACCATTCAAACAAAAGTAAGATAATTTTGTACCATGTAAAACTTTTTTGTAAGTCAATAATTTTTTTTTTTTTTTTGTCCCCAAACATCTATTTCTTTTTTTTTCTTTTGACAGCTCTATGTGATAAGAAAGCATTGCACAAACTTGATCATATAATTCAACAGATAAAATTTCAAAATGAAAAATGGAGCAAATTCCTTTTTCTGTTATCAATTCAAACAAAACCTTGAATCTTTCGTTTTTTAGCATTTATAACTGTTTCTTTCTCTTCAATGAGTTTCATTTTTTCGGCACGCAATGTCTGAATCAGTTCCACTGTATGTTGTAATATTGCAGCCTAAAATATCTATATTTAACATGAATAATTTCACACAGTAAAGGAAATATTGTAGCAAAAATATTTTTGTTACTTAGTTAACATATTCTTTTTGCTAAATGCTAGTTTCTCTTGATATGCCTAGCAGTTAATATAAGGTTTTTCTCTCTCTCCCTCTCTCTACCTATGTCCTTGAAAAGATACATCAAAAATATGTTGTATCGTAGTGATGAACCAAATTATTATTTTCTATTATACATTTACAGCACAACAGTAAAAAAATATGGCAATGATATTTTCTTGTTTTTATAATTTATAAAAACACTTTATCATCATCTCTTCAGTGACAAATTTAATGAGGCATGCGATAATCAGAACAAAAAGACTCACTTTGCTTAACTTTTCGCCATCTCTTCTAGGCAATAATAACTTCAGTGACTGAAAACCGGCATTGATACTTTGCATACGACGACGTTCGTTGCAATTGGCAATTTGACGACGAAGACGTCGATCCGTTGTGTCTATATTACCGCCCATCGGCGGTGAAATGGGATCATTCGGTGGCTCACTACTGCCGGTATGATATGATGGTGATTCGCTGAAATTAATCTTAAATTATTACGATGAAAAAACAAAAAAATTATGGTGGTTTGATTACCTACATAAATAAAGGTAGAGTAAGTAAAGCAAACTTGCTAAAATATCAGGATAAAAGGAATGATAGAAGAAGGGATGCAAATATTTTACAGATTTTTAATTTAAGCTTACAACTTTGTACCATTAATAAAACATTAAGGAAGCGAAATGTCGAACAACTAAATGTAGATAACATAAACAATGATCATCTTTCAGGAATGATAAATGATGAACAATATTTTACTAATTCTTCCTGTCTTTCTTTAGATTTCAAAACTCGAGCAATTAGACGCCAAATTTTTGGCCTAGAATGACTACGAGACAATGTAGAAAATAATGCGCAGCACTGAGAGATAATTAATTCCTCTTTCTTTTGTCAGTTCTTTATTCTTTCTATTATTGTTATCGGATATCTTTCAAACTATCTATTCGAAAAACACTGTACTGATTCTAAAGTTTTAGATGGAAATGAAAGTCTAAAACTTAGTTTAAAAAGATTGATTAAAGCATACATCTTTAATCATATTACTTCCCTTCTCTAGTTGAAAAGCAAACAATTGAGATATTACGTAAAGAGAAGCCGATTCGTATGATGTCAAATATTCCATCTTAAAAAATTCTGGTAAGAATTACATAGTTATGTAATTCTTAATCTCAAATACTACTTCTTTAAATATTTAATTCTTAATCCCAAATAATACTTCCCTAAATATTTAAATAATCTTATAATATATACTTGTGAAATTCGATACCATTTAAATTTCATTTCTAACACAAAATTTTATACAACTCTCACATCATGCAAAATAGAATTGCTCTTATTTTTATACTTGCCAAACTCTCATATTCTTACTAAAATAAAAATTTCCCTATGCTTTTTTAAGAGAGAAAGAGAGAGGTTTCCACTCATTTTCCACTCTTACATCTGAGATATTTTGAAGAAATAAATCTGGTTAACAATGAATGAATCGTTTTTTGCTTACATTTATTTCTATTTAACTTAAAAAAAAAAAAAAATTTTTTTCAGTATCTCAGTAATGTAACCAATGAAGAAAATAAATGAGTAATTATGATTAAACCTGTTAATTTTCTTTCAAAAATTAATATTAAATTGTATCTAATAATATAACATTCAAATCTACTTTTTACTTGCAAAAAAACAAGGAAAAAACAAAAAAACAAAAACAAAAACAAACATCTGTAGTGATTGTTGGTATTTTTTTTTTACTCCTCATTATCATTATTAAATCGAAATAATAGAATTTATAATTAGTATTGGTATAATTATTAAAATATTGAGATCTTTAAATGTTTATTACTTTTTATATATACTTTATTACTTTATATATATATACTTTATTATTCTACTGTAATATGTTAGTAATGTAACTTAATTAAATCAAATGATATATACTTTTACATTCCCTAAATTTGTCCCAAATGGAGAATAGAAGAAATAAAAAAATGTTGCTAAAACATCGCAAGAAATAGCGTGTACATACACATACACTTACATACAGTCACATACACATACACACATACACACACACACACACACACATACATAAATAGATAATATATACATATCAGCACAATCGTTTGCAAGCGACACCATCAGTTACTACTACCACCACTACCAGTAACTGCCATCACTATCAGCATCAAAAGAACTACAAAAACAATGACAGAGCTGCCCGGCTGTCCTGATGATCAAAAAATGGACTACTCATTCACTTACATACACATACATACATACATACATACATACAAACATACATAGACATACATAAATAAATATGTGTACATAAAGATTAGTTTAAAAACTGTTCATTATATATAAAAACAAAGTATATATTTCTCATTTTACAATAGTGATAAGGAAAGAAATGAAAAGATAATTAAGATAAAATATTTGAACAATGTTGCAAAAAGACATTTATATCTTTTAATTCAATTCTTATTATCATTTTTTTTTCTTTTCTTTTTTCTTTCTATTTTTGGAATAAAATTTATATTTGCAAATATATAAAGTCAAATCTAAACTAATCAAGTGATTTGATTAAAAATTCAACTTAGCTTATATTTTCAAATTTAATAATTTGTATAGCTATTATCTGATTTTTTTTTTTTTTTTAATAAATTTGCATTTTGTGCTTTCTTGTTGAAGAAAATTTGAAATGCTATACCAAAATGTTAGACAAAATTAGAAAAGTTAAAATGAGAAAAGAAAGTGTAATGCTTTCTCATTTTACACGATTTTATCCATAACAAACTATCATCTTGGCTCATATTCAGATAAGTCTTCTCCTTTTTTTTTCCTGAAACTATTCAGACATTCTTGTCTGGAATGTACTTTTCCTATCTGTTAATGATATTCTTTATAAGTAGTTATTGCGAATAATCCTACTTTAATTGAATGTTCAGTCTGATCAAATATTTGTAACTGTAAAACTTCTGCATGACTCATGCAAGCATAACATATATGAATATCATATGATAAAAATGATTAAATGCTTATTTATTCCATTTAATGAAACAAGTTTTGAAGTGTAACATCCAACATTTACATTCATACGATCATCTGAGTACGATATGAATCATCACTAACCTTTTTCATTCTGAACAACTGGACCAATTTTAATAAAATTTTATCAAATTATAGTGTAAAATTGAATAGTACTACTCAGGCTATGACGATATGAACAAAAATATATGTTTGGGAAGCATAAAGCATACATAAAGTAATAGTAATTTAGTTCATTAATTAAATATATTTCATTAAATAAAATGTTTCTATTATGTATCATTATAAGTAAACGGAATTTCATAGATGAAAAGCTTCTTCTCTCATGAATAGTTTATAAAAAAACGAAAAAAAGAAATCCTAATTATACTATTTTCTACAATTATTTTTGAAAATCAAATACAAAGTTTTTATGATTTTAGTTAATAATCCGAAAAAAAAAAAAGAGGGAATAAAAAGTAATATAAAGTTATGAACCTTCTATGAGATTGACCGAAATATCGTTCCTCATCTTCATCCGCACTGCTATTATTGTTACCTTTAGTTTTCATTACTGTGACAACACCGCTCGTACTTCCCAGATGCGCTACATATTCATCCTTCATTCTTTTTTCCTTTTTTTTGCTCTCCTTGTACTAAACAAGAAGAAATCAATAACTTGAAAATTTTACCAATTACAATCATTCGTAAAAATAAAAGAAAAACATACTTAACGTATTTTAAAAAAAAAATTAAAAAAGAAAAATATACTTAATATACGTAATGAATATTTTACAGATTAATTTAAATAGAAATTTTCTCAAATTTTCTAGATAAATTGTGAAAAATATCTGCAATTATGGTCACGCTGAAAGATTTATACAAATTTTTAATTGTATAAATCTTTCAGCGTGATTAATCTAATAATAATTTTAAATAAATGATTAATGTAATAAGGAGTGAAGCATGATCATTTCAAAGTTTATTATTGATTTAAAAAAAGATTTGCATTTTCTTACGCATCAAAATACCAAACTTTAATCACTTCAAGAATTGTTATCTTCTAATATTACATGTATTTGATGAACTGAGTGCTAAATTGATTACTAATCAATTTTATATTATATTTTGAACTCTTTCATCTTTTAAAGCATTTCTATTCGATGAATCTAAACAATCTATGAAATATCAATTTGAAAAAATTAAATCATAGCGTTCATTACAGTAATTGCTTTACGCTTACACTAATAATTCAATCCAATGCAAAATATGTAATTAACCTAAAAATTCTTGCAAGATAAGAATACCTAACTAATCAATCTTATTCGAATCATTCAAATGAAAAATATAATTTAACTTTCCATTATTCTTAATAAAAATCTGATTTTATCAAATTTTCCAAAATTTTGAAAAGAAAATTTTTGATTCTTTTTTTTTCCCTTTTTTTGAAAAATCTTCAAAACAAACGTAAATTTGCTGCTATGAATAAAACATTAAATTCTAAAAATTATTCCAAAAGCATTAAAATTGAGAATGTATGTGTGTGTATGTATGTATGTGTATGTGTGTATGTATATGTATGTGTGTGTATGTGTGTGAAACCGATAAAAATGACAAGAAGGGAAATGTAGTAAAAAAAGGATGCTGAGATACATAGAGCACTGAGAGAATTTCTATTAAAATTGGAGTGAGGCCACGATGATTGTATGCCATTCATCCACCCATCCATCTACTGTCTATGGATGGGATGGTGCTATTCCTCTTCCCATGCGGTGGTGCCATTACCGCCGTTCCACTCGTCCCTTCAGCTGATCGCCAGCAGACGGCACCACCCTCCCAGCTGTCACAGACATACACACTTTAGTATTTCATCAACAAAAAAAAAGTGCCAAATAACATTTGGTTTAATCTCGTCCAATGTATGTATGTGTGTGTATGTATGTATGTGTGTGTATGTGTATGCGCTTCTATCTACAACTAATGTGCCATTATCATGTCAGTGTAATATAAAGTAATGTATAAGAGATTTCATGAAGGAAAAAAAAAGAATAGGAATAATACCTGTAATTCACTGCTATTACTTACTACTGTTAGAGATACTATCACAGTGCTTATTACTACACCAGTAAAGAAGAATAAGCTAATTATTTAGTTGAAGAAAATAAAGTGTCACAAACATAACAGATGAAATGCTATCATATCAGTTAGATTATTGATAGTTATATTCCTTATCATTGTATCATTTATGTATTACTGTATTATAATACATTATGATAATTGCAAATGCATAATTTACTTGCTTCAAATTTATATTGAGAAATTGCTGTTCAATTGTTCCATATTATAAATCAATAAATTATACATCTGAAAAAGCAAATTATCAATTAATGATATTAATGATCATTTACGAAGAATTAGTGAAATAAATAAATTTTTATATGCAAACTTTAACTTCACTTAATTATATGTGAATATTTTGATCTTTATGCATAGACCAAAAATAAATGCATCCTTACCCCTTAGCAATGCCTTCTGGTAGCAATTCACTCAGCCTAATTTGTTATCAGTACATTCTCATTAATCCAATTATATCTATCAAAAATGGCTAGGAAATTTTAACTTTGATAAATCTGTTTATTCCATCCTACAGTATAAAAATTTGAAACAGATGAAGATGAATACGGAAGAAAACTCAAATAGAAGCTGTTAAAATCTGAAAACTGGCAATGAAATGTTTGATAAATTCCAAGAAACAGTCGTCGCTTATGTTCATATATTTTCTTTCTTACACAAATAATTTCAGATAAGTTTACTCCAGCATTTGTTCCATTCTGTACATATCATTTACGTTATAAAGAAAGTAGAAACAATTTTTTATAAAAAAAAAAAACACTTTTCCATTTTATCATACATGATGGTCTTTAGTTGTCAACCAGTTTTTTAATCACTCAGTATTTTCTGAATTTTCTTCCGGTTGTGTTGCATTATAAAATATAATAATGTATAATTCCCTCCTCTTCTCAAAAAAGGCAAACAGATATCAATCATTAAGCCGTAGCATTTAATTCAACCGATGCTTAAGTTCAGTTAGATAACTCATCTATAAAAAGCTTTATATCGCAAAATAAAAAGATCACATTTGATTTGTTGAAACAACAGTGAACATACAAAAAATTACAGTAATAAAATCACCAGAATCAAAAATTAGCCATCAAAGTTGTTGAGTTGAATTACCATTCCACCTGGCTTCATCATCTGATTGTGAAGAATCCTCGTCGTTACGAAATCTCCGAAAGTTACCTCCCTAAATTGATTTCTTATATTTTAGTTTTATAACATGAATTTATAATAAACCTCAGATGAAAATGAAGATCTTAAACCGCATTCAGTAAATTTATTCTTACATGTCTAACGTGATCTCGGCGATGTTCATCACTTTGTTTCGCTTTGTGAACTTTGCTCGGTACAGTGATAGGATTGCTGGGTTCAGTTGTACTGTCCAGTGACGAAGTAGGACCTTTATAACCAACTATATAAAGTAGAATACGATATAAAGCTTGAAATGGAGCAGCAATAGCATAATGAAGTAATCCGATCCACCTGGAACCACCATATGCAGCCACTGCTCGCTTACGTTTCTAAAGCATCAATTTACTAAAGCTCAATGAAGCCGCTAAAAAGAAAAAAAGATCCACTCAAATTTAGGACAATTAAAGTACTCATGGAACACCGAGTAGAAGTGAATAGAAGAAAATGCAGCTTAAAATCAGAATGAAATTTTACATATCAAGATGAAATTTTTTTCACTCTATACCATTCATCCAAAAGTTATAAAAATATTACTGCCAAAAAGCAAAGGCGGTAGTAATTCTTTAAGAGTTTTTAAAATCTGATACTCGTGATGACACTTTTTTGTCTATAAACAATAACAAAAAAATACACTTAATGAGGAATATAAATTTACAGAAAGTACGAGAACAGTTGCGGATGGCGTTAAACCCAGTTCAGCAAATGTTTTTGTGATATCAGGAAACTCTCGCCTTGGATACATTTGCACTATATAAAAATCATCACCTTCACGTCCATCCTAAAACAAAAAATACGAAAAATCAATTCAAAATACAAAATTCATTCGAGACTAAATTATTAAAAATTAAACCATTACAAAAAAAAAGTATAGAAGTACTCAACTACTTCAGAGATGAACAATATTATACCTTCTTGATTATTTCTACAAGCTGGGAAAAGATGTCTGTGGAAGCAAACTGATGTACCAAAGTAGAGCCATCGGAAAATTTGCACTGAATGCGGCATCCAGTACTTGAAATTCATACATATGTGAAAAAAAACATAAGAGGAAATTAGTAGGAAATAGGATCCTATGACAAATCACGTAAATGTCCACTACGGCACTTAGTGAAAAGCATTTTACGAAGCCAGAATTCATTTGCATGCTTGGTACTGAATGCTAAATACGATCATAAATGGTAAATGATAAAAGGAAACACGGTATTAACAATTTTACTTTGTTCATTTACCAACATAGAACAATACCTGTCTGAAACTGAAGACTGCATATTAATCTCATGATCTGCAGACTTTGTTTTATGCTCTTGGTCCTTAACTTTACCTAATGTTCCATTCATCCGTTCTTCTCTAAAAATATTCAAGTAAACTTCGTGCTAGATAATTATTTAAATACTTCATTATAATTTTCAAAATGAAAATTTCATTCATTTTCCTAAGTTATTCCACATACTTGTCTGCCTTAATCTGCTGACGAATTTTCTCCAGGTAAGCTTCTTGTTCACGTTTTTCGCGGCTCCTCTGCTCCATTATGTCTCGTCTCTCGCGTTCCTCACGTGATGCCTTTAATATATAAGAATATAACTTGCTATTACATATATATTGCAAAATAACTAAAGACACTGCTGAGGCTAAAATAAACTTTCTTAAACTTGAATGAGCACTACAAAATTACGAAGAAATACATGCAAAAACAAAACTCGCGCCTGGTACTAACTTTGGATTCTGCTATTGATTTACTCAAATTTCTTCTTTCGACCTCTTTTTCATTCTCTTCCTTTCTTTTCATAATTGCGTCTTCTTCACGTTTCTTTTCAAGTAATTTATGCGCTCTAAAAAAGGCCTAAAGTTTCAGAAACAAATACAAATAAATAAAATGGATCACCTTCTATAAAAGAAAGCCACATTTTAAAAGTCCCTACAGATACTTCACGCAAGTAAATCAAAAATAAGTTTTAAATTCAGCGAACCAGTTTTAATACCAATGAAAAATTACTTTATTATCTTTTCATCCATGCTAGCAGCAGTACATTCTTTTCTTTCTGTATTTTCTTTATCTGGATTACCAGTTACATTTAATGAAGAGGATGAAGATTGATGAGCATCGTTCAAAGTCTGTAAAATTATGAAACATTGAAGTCGATAACAGAATTTTCTAATTTTCATGGATTGTTAACTTCACAATTACAAAGCAGTAAATTGCTCACAATTTATTTTCTTTTTTTTTAAAGTAACTATTGAAAGCAAATAAAAAGAAAAATTAGTAGAAGTAAAGCAAGTAAAATAAAATTAAATTGTAGCAAATATTTGAGCAAAGCAATGAGATACATTTTTTGTGAAAAAAACATGATATCATGAATCATGCAGTGTGATATAAATGTGGGAATTGTTTGAAATGACTTAACAACACTATGTCTTTCAAGAAACCTATAATATATTTTTGAAAATATTTTGAATATGAAAACTACTTGCCTTCATAGCAATCTTAAGTCTTTGTGCAAAGGTTTCTTCAGTCAGTTCTTTAGTGACTGTAATAACATCTAAAGGCTTCCCTTTCAAGTCAATAACATATGATGCTGGTACAACAAATACGGGATCTAAAATAAATTTAGTTACAAATTTCCTCAATGAGATAACATTTTTTGTGAAAAAAAAAAAACATGATATTATGAATCATGAAGTGCGATATAAATGTGGAAATTGATTGAAATGACTTAACAACTCCATGTCTTTCAAGAAATCTATAAATAATTAAAGTGAAGTCATGCCGATGTCAAGAAATAAGCATTTCAATAGCAAAAACATTAGGAACATAAATACAAGAAAAAAAACTAACATATTTGAGCAAACTGCTTTGCCGCTTCGGTTCCTTGAAAAATACGTATGCCAACCAAAGCTGGTTGGCAAATATTGTTATCAATACTATCCCAAAGCTGTGCCATTCGCATACTTTGTTCATCTTTATTCTCTGAAGTAGAAAGTGCAATCACAAAACTGTTACAATCTAGAATTCCATATCACAACAGCAGATTAATCCAGCCACCAGTAATTATTAATTGTTTAATTTCTTTACGATCTTACCGGACAACTTCGGTACATCATTATTTTAACATGTATATTAATCAATTTCAGCGAATCACATAGCACAATTCATAGAGATCATGAATTTTATAGAAGAAAACATATGCTTACCCAATTATGAAAGAAAACATACGCTATTTTGCTATCATATGTTAATTCCATTGACAGTTTTAATTTCAATATCAAATTAAATATAAAATGATGTTTTGCTTACCTGGCGGTTGCTGAATATTAACGATGAAGAGCGCCTTTTGTTCACGGCTTGTGGCAATTGCTTCACTTATTCTGCCTTCAAACCATTTCATAATTCCTCTTCTCTGCCTACAATGTATCCTTTTTCACACGTAATAACGATAAATTTAAACGTCGTAAACATATTACGTCGACTTTGTTCATTTTGCATCTGACGTAACAGCAATTAAACCAAGCGTAATAAACGTATCACGTCCACTTTGTATTTGACGTCTCTCATCCAGTTAACTCTCTCTCCAACTTCCCATCATTGATAATACTGTCACACTTAGTTAACTGCACAGTTAGCTAACTGCTAATCTCTCCCAATCTTCAAATCCAATAGTATTTTCCAAATCTTATTACTCTCTGGTACTCCTTGACCACTGTGCTATTCTCCTACATACTCAATTCTTTTCAATCTTTCCGACACTCTCACTATTCAGTTTTTGGAAGACTGGTTTGACATAGCGGAGAGATGACTCAATGCAATTATATCGTCTATGCATATCAATATCGATTTGTGAACTGTCGTGACGTTTGTGTTCTGTGCGCGTGTCACGTACGCGTCATCTATATGCACGTTGCGTCCGTTGATTTTTTCACGTAGAATCTGTGAAAGCTAGTAGCATTTTTAAACACTAATAATATACTGTGAACTAATCTAATAGTTGAATGACCGGTGTGATATTGAAGTATATGTGGAATATATGATATTGTCAAGTGAAAGTTTTCACACAAAATTAAACGTTTGGAGATTTGATGGAGGCCAAATTTCAGAACGATCATGGAAAAGGAAGACATTATGGAAAGACAAGAACAGAAGCCGGTAATGAATAGTGCTCAGTGTGATAAATATAGCGCAGTTGATTTGAGCTTGGAAGAGGTTGAAGAGGAAATCCGTCTTGAAAAAATTCGACAAACATCACTTAAATTTTCATGGGATTATTTATCACAACTTCTACGTCGAAATCTTATGGTAGATTTTTTTTTGTGACATTTGTCTTTTGCAATTTCGAGATTTCAAACATTTTGACTTCAGTGACTTTGTTTTTCGAATTATCATATTCTGAAAAGGTATTACAGGTTGCTTATCTCCGTTGTAATAATTAACTTAAAATTTCATATATTTTCAACTATTTCTTGTTGGAAATGTGATTTGTATTTCCATAGAGTTTGTCATTCTCTTATTGCACAGCATTTCATTTTAACTTCTCTAAGCATTATTATGTGAAAGGAATTTGCTGAAATAAAATTTTTAAATAGATATATTAACAGTTTTTAGTACTACTTTTCAAGTTCCATTGAAGTTCTTTTAAACGTAATAGATTAAAAAACAAATGATAGTTTGAAGAAATTTGAGAAATTAGGAACTATGATATTTTTTAGGAGAAACGTTTTGTACTCAGTGCTGATGACAAGGAGGATTTGATGCAGGCAGCAGCTGATATGAGAAAATATATGCCATCAGACAGTGACCGTGATCTATCTACACATTTAAGGCATCTTGCTGAAAGCTTGTCGTAAGTGCTACATAGTAAATGGTTATATAAAAGAGTTGTAAAATATCCTAGAAAATACAGTGTGCTTTTTTTAGATATTTTTATAGTTATTTACTTCAGAAGTGATTTCCAAGCTCATCCAGGATATTACAAGATTCGAAATGCAGATTTTTCACTTGAAATTACTGTCTCTCTTGACGGGCAACAAATTACCAGTTGTTCAGTATCTTGGTTTGGTGAGCGGGCAGTGGAAGCGCAAGCACTTCGGCTTTACGTTTCTCGAAACAGATGGGATCTGATCCACACAGCATTGACAGCTATGTTTCATCTTGTTCCATCAGATTTGTCGAGGTACTGTTATGAGTTTCTATCTGTGTTTAATTTCTTGCTTCATGCTTTTGATAGCTATTTTTTCCACTTATCATGAAATGATTATAAATAAACAATGCTATCCTGATATCTTGTTTAATATTTTCTTTATATACTGATATATGATCAAAATTTTGTCAAAATCTAATCAAGTGAAAAATCCTTCTTGAGGGACGAGAAGATATATTGTTTGCGATCACTGGAGTACGCTGAAAAAGATCTACTGAATATGTCTGGAAGTGCTCCATCAATTTTTGAACAAATAAACGGTGGTATTTTGGGTCTCTGTAAGCCACGAACCGAATCAACTCCATTCACCATTTACCCGTTCGTCGAACCTGTGATATTCTTAGATGCTGCTTCCGGTGGTATCATATCTCCTACCGATGAACAAGGTAATTCTGAAAGACTTTTGAGTAAGGTAATTGCTGTATGCTGAAAAATCGTGAAGTTGAAAATCCTTAAGTTTGACATATTTTGCAAGATGTAACATATATACTGAAATATATTGCTAACTAATAGTACATACAAAATTTTAGTTCAGTAGATTTACCAAATTCGATTAAGACTTGAGATGTTAGAACTGTTTGATTGTTTCTTTTTCAGCTGTGTCCTTAGTTTAGTTTTGAGAAATAGGAATAAATGGTAGGGATTGTTCAATTTGAATCTTTTTTTTTTTATTAGGGTGCATTCTTGATCATCCTTTTAGTGATATCATTTCTGAGATAGACACCACATCACTATTGATTGTTTCAGTATTGTATGATGTGGAGCCATATCTTCAATTATGTGTTGTTTCGAGTTCAACTCCAAACTTCTTCTCCGATACTACGCTTTTTGCCCAGTATGCCTGAATTTTATTTTCTCGTTGACATTTACATGCAGAAATTTTCCGTAAAGATTTAATGATCTTAATATTTTTTATAGTGGGGAGTGGCGCAATGCTGTATCAGGCCGTCAGTTACCGGCAGCATTTTGTTTGCGATTTTCAAGACCAATTATATTTTCATCAGCTGCAATCAAAAAGCTTTCTAAAATTGCCTCAGTTCAGTTGAATGTTGAAGGCTCTTATAACTTGTATCAGTATTTGTTGAATGAAAATGAGGTGAGCATCTGTTTCATGTATTTGTTTTGGATAGTTCCATATTTATGGGCATTTTTATGCAACGTTTGCGAAAAGAAAGCAAACACGATAAATTTGCTTTTCCGTTTTTTCGCCACAATTTCTGCATCTGCTTATTTCTGTTGCTGATAGTTAGTTAAATTCTTGCAGGAATGTCATGATCTTTTTGTTCGTTTACCAGGCTGTTCGACACAACATTATATTTTTGATGACTCCATGAAGTCTTCGCAGGAAGATGGTATTTTAAGACAGGTGAATTGACTAATATCAATAAGCTTAAGCAGTCAGTGGTTTGTTCGAAAATTGTCTATGAATATTCCTAAAGTTTAAAACGAGTTCAGTTATTGTTAAGATTCAAGTCAAGATTCAAGTACTATATTGTGAGTAACTTTTCTAATCCTTACAGATACTATTTGCTCATTTGCAAGATGTGGTTTTTCTTGTGAGTATCATTCGAACACAACTGGCTCATAATGCCTTCTTCGAGAGTCTTGTGAGAGCGCATAGTCGTAGTGCATGTGTTGATGAAAATGTTGTTGATATTCATATTGCATCTTCGTACATCGACTGTTTTGATCTCCAGTTTTATCTGAAAAAGAATTTCTTTATAGGTAATACTTCCGGAAATATCGTTTTTGTACTGAAATTCTTTCTTTTCAGTAAAGAGAGTTATGCATGTAGAATAATGGGGAGAAAGTATTTATCGCTTTTTAAAAAATTGTGTGGATATTGGGTTAGTGCAAAAAGTTGCTAGGAAGCAGGTAGCTAATAGTCCTGCTGGAATATTGGATGGTAGTAATTTCAAGATTATAATGGGCAGACTAAACGATTCTAAATTGTTTTTAACGCCTGGTTTTTCGAAAAATAGAGAAAAATATATTTTTAGCACGTGTCGCTGTATCACCGTCAAATATTAATGTTTCACTAGAATGCGTAATAAATGGAGCGGTACTTCCCGAATCACAGCATGCCACAGCTATTCTTGCAAAGTAAGGCTTGATTTTTTTTTTCTTGCAAAAAATATTACTAGTTTGGAATGGCAGTCATCTCAAAAAAAAAAAAACCTTGAAAGGTTTTACGCAATATCTGTACATATACGTTTTTTAGGAAGAACTCATTTAATTAATTCAATAAATTATAATTTAATGTTTCTTTTTTCTGCAGAAGTTGGTCGCTGGCAGTAATGATGCGAAGTGTTTTGCGGCGTGGAGGAGCCATTTCGTTGGCTGCGCTTGAAAAACCATTTGTGATGAGCGAAAATGTTGATAATAACTGCGACGTTAAAATATCACAATCTTGGTTGTTTGTTCCAAACATAACGGACAACAGTATTAACTACAACAAAACAGAACATGAATACGTGGTGGATGAACGAATTAGTCTTAATTGTTCATGTGATAGCAACGCTTTAGGAAGGCAATCACCACTGTCTTTATTAGCACTTTTTAAAGAGCTTGAAAAGATAGAAGAACTGATACCACCTCAGAAACCCATGAACGGAGCGCAACAATGTACGGCACCTCCACGTAACGAAATGCTTGCACCACGTACGAGTCGTATCCATTCTGAAAATACGATGACGATCAATGCCTTCTCTGTCCTGGTACATTATTTCTGTTCTAAATTTTCCGAAAATTCTGCAAATTCATATCCAGTGGTGGGAATTTTAAATCTAATGAAACAAATATGATATATGGCAGGACTTATAGTCAATTATGATTATAGTGAATCAACATCAATCTGTACTTCGTGCATTTAACAGTGATAGGTTAATAGGATCACAGAACATTCCTTACGATGTCATTAAGAGGTAAAGGACGGAATGATCGAGTCAACATTTAGTTTCTATTCTTTGAAAGTAAGCACAAACCTATTCTGCTTATTAATTTCTGTGGCTTTGATACAGCGTTATGTAGATGTTTTAATTCGTGTTCTGTTCCGGAATGATAGGAATGGACGTTGAAGTATCTGCAAGTGAAAACCTATATAATAGACAAGTTAAAACTGTTGTTTTGTACCTAAAATTGGATACATCTGGAAGGTAGCATTTGATATAAAGTGCAATGAAATGACAAAAAAATGAGATGGAACATATTCTCAGTCAAGAAGAAGAGCAGACTTACACGTAATTCAATTACTGCAAAATGGGGATTTTTTGTGCTGATGCACACAATTTGCAGCCGGTTAATGATTCGGAAAGTTATGCTGCTTATAGTTCCAAAGTTTGAGTCTTCATCATTGCAGTTTCTGCAGAAATAGAATATTTGGCAATTCTTCGCGAAACATCTTCCATTTTCCCACTTCATCTGCGTCGCACTGAAGTTACTTGATATGCAGAAGTGTAAGAAGGAAGGCAGTTACCATTATTATAATCATTAAGTTGCTATTTTAGAGCTAAGATCAGAGATGAATGGATTGGACGAATTACTTGGAATATTAAGTAACATTGGTGGGGGAGGTTTTGATTATTCGAATTTAGGCAAACGTACTTTAACTTAGAATGACTTTTTTGGTGATTTTTCGGGAGATTTATTCAAATGTTGAAGGATGCAATTTGTGACATGGCAGCAAGTATTGATGATGGTGAATCAAATGTTTCCGAGCACAGTAGCCATTCATCAATTGTAGAACGTTGTTCACCATCTACTAATGAGGCAAGTATTTTTTTGTGGTGGAAGTGAAAAGGAAAATATGATTTAGTGATTCTAAATATTTAAGAATAACTGTCTGTACGTAATAAGTGAACTGAATTTAGAGTTGTATCTCTCTTTAGATTCCTAGAACTTATGATTGAAAATAATTCCTTCACAAATTGTTGAAACTGAGCAGGTTTAATTTTATCATTTTATAGAGCCAAAGACTTCGTCCACAGATACCGCCGCAATCGCCGTCTCCAGCAAGCGAACGTTATCGTGCTTCCCAAGCGGGAAATTTTTCACAGCTTTCGCCGCTCGATATTGCGCGTCAACGTCTTGCGGTTCATTTTGTGTTTGGAATTTTTGCGTAATATTTAATGAGTTGAGCAGTGACGTAATATGTAAGAATATTTTGTTAAAAAGCAAAAATCTGAAAGGAGCTGGAAAAAAAAAGAATTAAAGGATACAAAAAAAAAGAAATTAATAAGTTAAAAAGTTATCACTCATGTAAACATGCAAATTACGATATTTGTTATAAAAAACGTAATTTTGTACAGAATGATGGTTCACTTTTTCAGCAGCAAGCGCCGATGAGCAATCCTACAGACATCTTTGAATTTGATGATCCACCTCGTATGAACTCAGCAGGTTCGATGGGAACACCAGCTCAACAGTTTCATTTTCCAGAAGCAGGACAAAGTCCATATCCTTTTGCAGCTGTGCAAAGTACTAGAGGTCCATTGAGTGCTCAGCCGACTCTGAAGCGGCGAGGTCGAGGTCGTAAGGCAGGAAATGTAGGTGACCGAATGTTGGATCCTGCTCGACCAATTCTTGATCAGAATACTGGTTTGATGTTTCGTGGTATGAATATTCCGACTCGCAAGCCTCGAGGTAATGTATTTTTTGATTGGGAAATACATTTAATATCATTTGGAATGTAATGTTTATGTTAGTATTGGTATTTTTATGTCAGTTTCTAGTGTTCCTATGAAATCCTAACTATAAAATTAGGGTTAGTTTTTGACATGAAAAAAATTTCTATTTTATAGGGACTTCGACAGCGAGGCGTCCTCGAAGACCACGTAAAGCTGCTCATATGCCTGCGTCTCCTGCACATTCACATCAATTTGCCTTAAATCGCCCTATGTTACAACGTTCGTTCTCTGAAATGCCAGTTTATCCTTCACAAATGCCACCTGGTAATGAAAACACTTGGAATTATTTATTAGAATAAAGTTAATGGTTTTTTATTTCGACATTAAATCTTTTATTACGAATTACCAAATTCAAGAGTTAAACAACAATTAACGATCTGATTAGTGAAATAAAACTAATACTGTCGTAGCAAAATAATGCTTTATAAAATCTGCTTGAAGTTATTCGGCGAATTCTCTCCTGAATGCTAAATATAAAATTGTAAAAATTATTGAACTCTATGTAGTCGAAAATTTTTGAACTTATTAGTTATATTACCTTTTTCTTTTTTTTTTCTCTTTTTTAATCAACTCATCAGAAATCTCATTTTCTTCATTTTTAGTCAGCTTGTCGCAAGAAAACCGATCAGAAGCATCTGAATTCGATGGAACTGAAGAATCATCCGATGATGAAACTGACCCACCGCCTCCTGTCTGTACTACTGCCTTACCGCAGCCGTCATCTCAACTTACTGTGAGTAGCAGTGCTCCGGTACCACAGACAACCGTTGTCGGAAATCTTTCATCTTCATCGGCAACTTTACCAATGGTTAATAAATGTTCGTCCTTAACTACCGCTTCATGTCTTCCATCCATTCCATCCAGGTATATTCCGTTCGTGTGTGTCTCAGAATTTTATAATCCATGAAAAGTTTTTTTCATGATTTTACTTATCTTCGACTGTATAAAAGAAAGCATGCGTCATTTTATGAGAGTCATATCGCATTCTATGATTTTATAAATTTTCGAAAATTGAAAATTTTTCAATTTTTTCTTATCTCTTCCATCAACAATATTTCCGTTCCCATAAAATGAGACGTTCCAGTGATTTATTGTATCCATATTTTAATTTATTCTTTCTTTCTTTTTTTCTTTTTACTGACTCTATCATTTTCAGATCGTTTTTACCTTAATTTTTGGGTATTTGAAGAATGAATTATAACCATGCATTAGTTTGAATAATAATGGTTATTTGGATAATTTAACGCTTTTTTTTTTAGATGCTTAATATTTTGATTTTGTCTTATGCTGAAAATGTACTTTGTTTTATTTCTGAAACATAATAATTTTTGGACTTTTTTATGTTTCTGTTTTCAGCGCTCCAGCAACGGAACTTACACCTCCAACCAGTTCATCTCCAACATCAACCAGTAACAGTTCAATGCAATCAGCGGCACTCTTAGCCCATAAAGCGCGCAAAGGAAGTCTGGAAGCTGTTGTAGGAAAGTTACACTGTAAAACAGCACCGGCAAGCAGTAGCAGTTCGACAACATCAAATCCGTATTTGGCCTCCGATTTATATGACGATGAATCGGAACCAGTTAGTAAACCGCCTGAGGTGATGCTTTTTAAGTTTTATCTGAATCCGACTGAAACAGAAAAAAATATTTCATATTGGGAATTTTTTATTTCACGTTTTGGCATTTTAGCGTGTTTTAGAAATAAATAATTTATGCGCACACAATAACACTAAATTCATTTTGTCATAGGCATCAAAAAAAAAAAGAAAAAAAATTGATTCCGCTTCCTCGTGCTTTAGGCCATAATACACGTCGAAAAAATGAGTGTAGCATCATGAAAATATACCATTTCTTTCTTGATAGTTGACAATGTAGAAGAAAAAATAGTGAAAACTAATATGTTACTGTAAAATTTTACCTCTGATTTGTGTAATGATTGATTATACTGCAGCCAGTTCCTGCTAAGCGTGATAGTCCATCATTATCAACATCATCTCCTGGGGCACGAATGTCACCAAATCTGGCAAAGATGAATGCAGAACAATCGGGTTATGGTTCAGAGTTGAAAATAATGATTAAATTGAAACAGCAAGCATCTACGCGACCATCTACTGGACCATCGCAATCTTCATCGGGTGGTGTGCCACCGTTAGTGCATTTGATTTTGTCCCTAATTTATTTAGAGCTTTTTGCTTAAATTATAAATTTGTTTGCTTCTTAACAATTTGTTTCTTATTATTACCGGTTTCATCCCCAAAATTTATGTCCTGACCAGGTCTATGCGCTTGGTTGGCCAGCCTCCTTCTTCATCAAGATCAAAGGAAGAAAAAGCACTGTTACGACAAAAACAGTTAAAAGAGAAAAATCGATCTGCCCCAGATGAACGTGCTCGGAAGGCGGGTAAAAGAGAGCGTAAGGGTGAACTTAGTAGTAGCAGTAGTAAGGTATGTTGTTAAATTGAACGAACTTTGATATAACTGTATTCCGATGCTACAAAATATTTCTTGCATCTTAGTGACACAAAAGAAATCACTTTCTAAACTCAAAAGTATTAACATAATAAAGTTGGAGAAAATCAGTTCTGTACAGACTTATTGATTCTTTCAGAAGCTGAAACTGGATCGGCCATTAAGTGAGCAGAAAACAGCGACAATTTCACCAAAAGTTGAATTTCCACAGGCACTTGCATTTGCTAGCCTGAAAAATTTTAAGATACCAAAGGTACCAAAGTGTTTTTCAAAATGAAAAAGGAGTGCCTTAAAACTAGTACTATTTTTAACGGTGTAAAAAATTATACAATCATATAATTTAGATGGGTAATGCAAGTTATATAAGGCGTATTAAGGAGGGAATAAACTTTGGCAACATTGTAATCATTGCTGCAGCAACTTTTCAAGTTTGATTATTGCATAATAATAAAAAATGTATATCTTGAGCTTTATTTATTGCAATGAAAATTTTACAAATTTAGTTCATTTACATGAGGAATTGAAATTTATGCTTCTGATCTGTTTTAGTTTTTACTTAATGTAGAAGATGAATTAGGTAATGGAAAATGAAAAATGTGAAAGCCCGACGCCAACAACAACAACAACACCAGCTGTAGCTACCCCATCATCTTCCGGTGCGCATTTAAACGTTGGTCAAAGTTTGAGCTCTTCAACGATGCAAGTAGTTTCTTCAACATCATTATCAGCAGCAACAACAGCAACCACAGTAACGGCTACATCGTCGTCTTCATCTGCTGGAACATCTTCGATATTTCCACCTAAACCGAAATCAATTCTGAAATCACCAGCTGAGCCACCACCATCACTTTTTCGAGGAATGGGTGGTATGCCGCCAATGTTACCCGGCCGACGACCATTGCTACCCGATCCACGAAATGTAATGCATCATCCACCAAGGTTAGAGTACATCTTGTTGGTTGCATAGTAGTACAGTTAAGATTCCTTAGAAATTTAGTGTATATCCTAAGATTTTGTCAAGGATCCATTTTAATCTGTTAAATAATTGAGCTATTGGTGATTGGGACCATTGCTGATGTTGTTGTGATCATATATATGATCATGTCTTCCAACTTCAAGCAAATTGAAGCTATGGATTTTGATTGGTTGAAAATGGTGCGTATTGAAATTTTAGTAAACTGAGGTAGTAGTTGTGTTTTGACCTATATTTTTCTTTTTGTAGTTTTCCCTTTGAAGCTGCCTGATATTGTTACGGCGCAAGATTATCAGTACTCGTCTACTGCTTTGATTTTTGATCCAGCGGCACTGAGACGGGAATTGAATAGTTCGCACCAAGTAACTCACTTATACTTGAAATTGATTTTCTTTCCGAGTGATTTCACAGATTTAGAAGCGGTAGATATACACTGTAAGATAGCTTGTTTCCTGAAAGATTGACAATTGCAGAAATCAATTTAGACCGCTGGTAGCTCTACCTCGAATGATACCGTCAGTGTTGAGTGGTGCTAATTTCATGCCACCACCTTCATCATCAGGCCGTTGGATGGCACTAGCACCACAACGACAACCATCACCTAGGAGTTCACCATCTGAGCAGTCTGCTCCTAGTTCCGGTTTGTCCGAAACAGCTACAGCTATGTCGAAAATGCAAGACAGTCCGACGGAGGCTCTGAAAATTGTTGCTGACGAGGAATAAACTAAAGACACAAATTTTTCAATTTATGATTTTATTGGCTCTGCATTTCTAGAAATTTTAATGTACATAATGTAACAACTACCTTCTACATTGCATTTCTAAAATATTACAGGTAATTTAAAGTATAAACACGGAATCGGTATTATCCTGAAGTTACTGCCGGTTTATTTATATTACATTGGGTTTATTTGGTTGATAATTGCTACAATTATCACGGATTTCTTGCTTGTTTTCATTGTTGTCTGAAGAGATAAAAGCGCGAAAAATTAAAGTGGTGAGATTAAAGCTTTTGATGTTTCTGCAAAAAAATAGCAGATTATTTTTTAATTGGGGATATTAGTCTGAAACATGTATACCCTTATTTCGCAACATCTTCCAAATTTTAATCTTCATTTGATATTCGATATGGATGAGAAGTAGTCTTTTTTCCACTCAAATATGCTTTCTAACAAAAGTATAAATGTGTTATTGTTTGGCTTATATGTTTGTTGTATGGATTATAAAAATAAAATATTTTGTTTCATAACATTCTGTTATATATATATATGCTTTGTAGTGATGATTGGCTTGCGGAAAGCATTTGATCTAAAAAAAAAAAAAAATAATAATATAACATGACTTTTCCTTCCATTCGGAAATCATTGGCTTATTTTCGTCGTTGTTAAGAAAATTGTATGTTGTTTCAAATTAAAAGTTTGACTTGTTCAAAAGGCCTAGGTAAAATGTTCTTTCGAATTGAGAGTGCTTCTGGTTTAGTGCACTAATAAAGTAAGAATGATATGTAAGGAAAGAGCTGAAAATTATTTCTGTGATTGACCTTTATTCCTGTATTATTTGTTATTGACTATTTGATTCGAAAAGTGCTTGTACAATTTGTTGTTATTCTCTCTTTTTTGCATTGAAATGATTCAGTCTATTCATTTTTACTTGTTAAAAGTCCAACGATCGAAGTGAAATTCCTAATGAATCTGATGAATTGGTAATGTACAATAAATATATTGACATACCGGTTTTGCTTATTTTCAGTTTAGGCAGAGCTAAATTTCTTCTGTTATGTGACAAATTTTATTTAATACTTTTGTAATCTTTTCTAACATTTCGTTCACTTTTTATTTCTCTGTCTTAGATGATATTATTTCTGAAATTTGTTTGAATTTTTGCATGTTTGAATTCAGTAATTCTCTTCTATTAGTCATACTTAATTTTCTTTGTTGAATAAATTTCAAAATTACTGAAAAACTGATGTAATTTACTTATGGAGGTTGAAAACATAATCAAATTATATCATTACATCTCGAAATTTCTCATTATTATCGATGATCACTTATTAATTCTTTTTTTTATGCATAGAAAATACCATTGCAAATTTTCAATAATTTAAAAAGTGGAAGAATAGTGTAAATAAGTTTACTTATATCATTTACTGATTCATCACTCATTTTGTCTGGTTGGTCTTCTGTTTACTTATATTTTCTCTTCATATTTATTCATTCTGTCAATGAGTAAGTGAATGATAATTTACATCTTTATGTGTTCCATATTTTTATATTATCAGTAAGATATAAGATGAAACTGTTGTTGTTGTTGTTCATGAGTTTAAAAATTAATTATTACTTGATGATATTTCATGAAATTCGTTTATTCTTTTTAAAATTAAATAATATTCAATTCTAAGGAAGGAAAAGATAAAGGTAAGAAGAAGAAAAAGAAAAGTGCAAGTAAAATTTTCAGACTTATGTTTCACTCACAAAGTTACTTCATGACGTTTTTCAATATTGATTGATTAGTCATCTACCTTCGTTTTTTAAAACAATTTCTTTTTCCGCATTTCTCGACAAGTGTGCTGTAATACCGTATGATAATTAAAGTATTTTTTTAAATGAACGGTTTAAAATGAACTGAAGATAAGGACTATTTATATGATAATTAAGATTTAATTTATTAAATTTTAAAATGCAAATTTCTTAACTTTTGTAAGAAATAATCCAACATTATTATCAGAGATAATACAATATGAAATTACTCTTTGATAATTTGAATAATCATTGGTTGTGTCGTAATACTGTATGATAAGATAAGAAAGTGAAACATATTGTAATTTAAAGAGAGAATTAAATGATAAGCAAATATGAATGACCGAATATTTCTTCACTTCTAAATTTCAATGAATTTCTAGCAATCAATCAATCAATCAATCATGCCTATATGAAATATTATCAATCATTTCAGAACATTAAAGAGCAAATGATATGTTTATTATAATTTGAAAGATTGGCATATATCATTTTATTAATAACGATTAGTGATTAGAGAAGAGAGGATAAAATAAGTATTGTTGACAGTATCGTTTACAAATGTTTTAATTATCTAAAAGTTTCACTATATCTGGTTGGAAGAAGAAAAGTGTAGAATTTAATATGAATTTAAAAAGTTTATTATTGATAAAGATGATTATTATGATAAGATAAAGTAAAATAAAATATTTTCTTTTGCATTATTTTCATCCTATTTTATTATAGATAACTTTTATGAATGAATTCTGAGTTTACTTTTTCTCAACTTTACTTTTTTTTTTCCTCTCAAATAAATCAATAATAAGACATACATTGTCAGCTGTTCTTCTATCCTATCATTTTTTCTCTCTCTCTCTCTCTCTTTCCCTCTCTCTCTCTTTGCTTGTTTTTTTGTTTATTTTATCAAAGATCTGATTGAGTTAGCTTCCTCCTATACAAATCTCTTCTTGCCCAAGGCTTTTTATCCTTTTGCTCGAAACTTTCTTCAAATTTCTATTTCATTTTTTTTTTTTTTCAATCCAATTCCTTCGAATATTTCTATAACTTTGTTGATGAAAGGGAGAGAGAGAGAGAGAGAGAGAGACAGACAAAGCAGAGAGAGGGAAAGAAAGAAAGAGAGAGAGAGAGAGTCATCTATGTTATTTATTTAAAGTTCTCAATCGATCATTTCTTCTTTCATTTTTTTTTCCCGCAAAAATATTAAAGTTCAAACTGGTTATCAATCTTTTTTTTTTTTTGCCCTAATATTACAGTGTCACTCTCCGTTCTCTATCATATCTTCTCTTTCTCTTTCCCATATTGTTTGAATATATATGTTTATGATATGGCTAATATCCTTCATCTTGTACTATCCTCTTTACTTATCTCTAAACTTCCCTCTCCTACTCTTCCCTTCCTTAACTTAAAGAGAAAATCAATCCCTCCCTCCCTCTCTCTCTCCCTCTCTCTCTCGTACATCTATAACTACCCATACGGAATCGTTAACAACTATTGCTGTTGTGTGTGTTGTTGTTGTGCGTTTGCGTATAGACGTTTAATACGAGGTGGTTGGGTGTTCGCAACGTATGCATGTGTATGCGTATGTGCGTGTATGTGTGTATGTGCGTGTATGTGTGTATATTTTTGTACATATATGGGCATTAGTCAGAGAAGAAGGCTATTTAAGTGAGAGTATAAGGTAATATGAGGGAGGAGAATGTGGGAAGTTTTGTTGTTGTGGAGATTAGTTGAAGGGTTGGATGTATGTGTGTGATACGTCATCAAGGCAAACCTTTCTTGTCATCAAGGCAAACCTTTCTTGTCATCAAGGCAAACCTTTCTTGTCATCAAGGCAAACCTTTCTTGTCATCAAGGCAAACCTTTCTTGTCATCAAGGCAAACCTTTCTTGTCATCAAGGCAAACCTTTCTTGTCATCAAGGCAAAACTTTCTTGTCATCAAGGCAAACCTTTCTTGTCATCAAGGCAAACCTTTCTTGTCATCAAGGCAAAACTTTCTTGTCATCAAGGCAAAACTTTCTTTGTCATCTTTTGGATTCATTTAAAAAAATTTTTTTCTTTTGATAATTTTGATATTATAATTAATATTATATAAACTTATAATTTTGCATATGATATGTGTATGTATATTTAATATTTATTTATTATTTTTTATCAATTATGCATTTTTTTTTACTTGTATATCAGATAAGAATATCAAAAAATTCGAGTATGTATTATTAATTAGAATTTACTTAAATATTACGAATTATTTAAATTTTTTTTTAAACATTATTTATTCTTTTTTCCATTATTACTTCAATTTTTTTTTCTTTTTAGTTTTCATTTTGTATTTCTTTTGTTTATTATACATTTTTTGCTGATTTTTTTTTTTTTTTGCATTCACTGTTAGAAATGTTAAATTTGTTGAAATCCTATTGTTGTTGTTTTTTTTTTTCAGTTCCATAATATTCTGTTCTATTTTTTGCCCTTTTTTCTCCCTTTCCTTAGTAACCATTTCTCTATTTCTATAATTATAATTAAGAATTAAAGCAAAGTATTTTATAATTAAATTGATCATAATATGTTTTTCTCTTTATATTCCTTGAAATTGTTTACTTCGGTTCCATTCAGCTTTTCCTTTTCCAGTCTTTTCAATTGTTGTTCGTAATATCTTCTAATAATTTATAAGGCATAATAAGAATTTCCCGTTATTGATTTACTTCAAATTATATCATTTCCGATTTTTTATTCTTAGATTTAAATAATTTCATACTTTATTCGCATTTTATGTCAATTTTAGAACTTTTCAACAGAAATTTGTCATCTTTCTATCGGTTTCCTCTACCTCATCGATCTGTAATTTTGTGATAATTGTGATAAGAATAATAATGATAATGATGATTGATGATAATAATGAGGAAGATAATGATGGTAATAGTGATGATGGTGATGATGATAATAATGGTGATAATGATACTACAGCACTTACTGCATATGCAGCAATGACAATGATTAAAGAAAACTGAAAGTTTTAGTTTGGAAAGATAACGTAAGTAGATATATTTCTAGTACTTTTCTTTCACTGCTAAAGATGATTATTGTAACAGTTTGATAAAAATACTTCAATCTCTGTTACAGTTATGAGTGAGAGATATATGTTAGACTTATTTAGATTTTATATAAACTTATATAATACCACTCACTTATGCTTTTTTTCAAAATAGTAG